TGGGGGTGATCAGGGTTTTTTTTTTACCCAGTGATTGCTTGTTACAGTGATGATCATTGTAACAGCAATGTTTTGAGCTGTCATGAATGCTTACTATTGTGATGCTGTGATTGGCTCACAGCTATGACATGGTATAGGGTGTTGTGATTGTACCATGTGACCAATCACAGATCACACACAGTCATAAACAATGATGTCATGAATTGATTCCAATCATGACTATTGTTTGCTATGTGAAATGTGATCACGTAGCGATCATGTGGTATCTAGGCCACTCACAGTGGCCCAATACGGAGCACAGCAATCCGTTGTGCTCCTCGGGCACGCTAGTGCACATGAGCACCACGCTATGTGGGTACAAGGAGGTGCCTAAGGTGAGCAGCCAGCACTAAATTTACTTTTCGCAGGTAGTTAGCCTATTGCAGGTAGTATATTTTTCTCTTTTTTTGTATATGTGATGATTATTTATGTACTGCCATTTTAAATTGCTACATTGTTTATTTTACTTCTTTTTGCTGTTTTTTTTTTTTTTTTCGGAAAAGAAAAAGACTGATAAAGTGCTTTTTTTTGGCACATGAACAGGTCCAGGATTATTGGAAGGAGCTACCTTAATAATTACCTTAACAAATTTACAGCCAGGACATGCTAAGTATCACATCTGCAGCAGATATCAACATGTGTAAAATGGTACTTGCAGATAATCTGAAAGTGTCATAAAGTAGATACAATGTAACAATTGTTATACTGTATTTACTGCAGTCATATGTACAGTAGATGAAAAGGGTAGCCTTTAATTTGCATATGACATCAGTAAACACAACCATGTAAGTAAAAAAAAAAAAGTTGTCTTTTTTTTAATATAAAATGTATTCCTATTTATCCATGTATTAATCTTGATCAGCCCTAATTAACTAATTGCTCCCCTTCTTTCCTTAGGTATTATTTTTTAGCTTTTTTTCCATTAATATAAAAACTTAATTTTTATTTTTTATTTTTTGTTTGCTGTTTTTTTCTGTGTTGCATAAAAATGCACAAAACTCATTTTATTTTTTAATTTGTAAATAATTTTGCCATTCTTTGTACCGGAAATATCATTTTAGTATCATTATAAATGGGACAAATGATAGGATAACAAGTATACTTTTATTATACACAGTAACACCACTTATTTTAAAACTAATACTTGTAAAAAGTATCTATAGATTGCATAGAAATAAAGTAACATTTGCAAGATAATACTGGCAAAAGAATTTCATTTTGCCAAAATTAGTGAGTGCTTTAAATTGCCTCCAGAATTGTTCCTGTTTCTTCTTGCTAGAGGTTGCCATTTTTCTGCAGCCCACAGCCCCTGAACAGCAGTAGCTTTAAGGCTGTGCCTAAAAAAGAGAGCAACTGAGTATGTGCAGAGCACGACGAGACAGTATATTACTAGAGTTCAAACAGTATAGGCACTTATTTTTAATGTTTTGCATAGTAGCCATATCTGCAAAATGGGCCAACCTGACGTGATCTATCAAGACTTAATTTTATGCCTAAAATTCAACTTTTACCACTTGAAGACCAAGCATTTTCTGTCACTTTTTGTTTACAAGTTTAACCACTCTCCTGCTGCCCTATAGCAGATATACTGCTACAGGGCAGCACAGGTGCACAAAATAATGCCAGACTCATTCACCTTTCCAACCGCTCTGTCTCCGCCACCCCCCTCTGCCAATCCCTCCACTGGCTTCTGATTGCGCAACGGATCAAATTCAAAATCCTAACGCTGACGTACAAAGCTGTCCACCATACTGCCCCGAACTACATCACTGACCTAATATCAAAGTACCACCCAGCACACACACTCCGCTCCTCACAAGACCTCCTTCTCTCTAGTTCCCTGGTCTCCTCCTCCCATGCCCGCCTCCAGGACTTCTCCAGGGTGTCACCCATCCTCTGGAACTCCCTGCCCCAACCCATCAGATTATCACCTACTCTCCTCTCCTTTAGGCGCACCCTGAAAACCCACCTCTTCAGGGAAGCCTACCCCACCCCCTGCTAATTCCCAACTCCTCCACCACTCCTCCTACCACTCCATCCCCCACAGCTATCTCCTCCTGTACCACTATCCCCTCCCTCCTAGATTGTAAGCTCAAAAGAGCAGGGCCCTCGATCCCCTCATGTTTTGCATTGTATTGGTATTGTTCTGTCACATGTTCTGTCCCCCTTTGTAATGTACAGCGCTGAGCGAACCATTGGCGCTTTATAAATACTGTATAATAATAATAATGTTTTTGCACCCCTGGGTAGGGGGAGCATGCGTGACGCGCACACCCAACCCACACACTACCATTCGCAGCTGTCAATCACTGGGTCCCAGCCAGTGATTTCCTGCCGGCGCCCAGTGATTACCGAGCATCTCCAACAGGAAGGAGGACTGTTTTGTTTACTAAGACTCCTCCTCCCTATCAGCTTGGGCACACTGATCTGGATGGCTGTGCACAGCACAGCCATCCAGAGCAGTGTGATTACAGTGAAGCACACAGACACCGCCCCCTAGTAAAATACTCCCTGTACACAGTTAACCCTTTGATCGCTCCTCATGTTAACCCCTTCCTGCCCAGTGCCATTAGTAAAGTGTCAGTGCTTTTTTTAGCACTGATCACTGTATTGGTGTCACTGGGGATGTCAGTGACACCAGGTCAGTTCCTCCTAGTATCAGAATGTCCACTGCAGTCCCGCTGATTGCCATCATTACTAGTAAAAAAAAAATTCCAGTATCTATACCGCCATTTGTAAATGCTATAACTTTAACCAATTAATTTACACATATTGAGATTTTGTTTAGCAAAGACATGTAGCAGAATACATTTTGGCCTAGATTTATGATGAAATTTGATTTTTTTAATTTTTTTTACTGGAGATGTTTAATAGCAAAAAGTTAAAAAATAGTTTTTTTTCTCAAAATTGTCGGCCTTTTTTTAATAGTGCAAAAAAAATAAAAAAAAACGCACAGGCGATCAAATACCACTGAACGAAAGCTCAATTTGTGGGAAAAAAGGACATAAATTTAATTTGGGTGCAGCATTGCATGACTGCGCAATTGTCAGTCAAATTAACACCGCATCATAATGCAAATAATGACCTGATCAAGAAGAGGCGTAAACAGGGGCAGACTGACAACTTATGGGGCCCCCGGGCAATAGGGGATCATGGGGCCCCTGTGACCTTGCCCAAACTCAAAAAAGCCTATGAAAAAGGTACCAGGGGCATCTCATGGGGCCCCCTACTGACTCCGGGCCCTCGGGCAGTGCTCGAGTTTCCAAATGGTCAGTCCGCCCCTGGAAGGCAAGTGGTTAAATCAGTATTTAGCGCTAGAAAATTACCTATAACTCCAAACATTTTATATATACAGTGTATATATATATATATATATATATATATATATATATATAAGCAAAGACCCTAGAGAATGGAATGGCGATTATTGCAATTTTGATGTTACATGGTATTTGTGGTGTTTCAAACGCAATTTTTTTGGGGAAAATGCACTTTAGATTTCTTGCTCTAACATTCACGGTGATACCTCACATGTGTGCTGCGAACACCGTTTACATATGCATGTGTGACTTATGTATGCGTTCACTTCTGCATGCGAGCACAGAGGGATGGGGGCACTTTAAAAACATTTTTTTCTTATTTATTTTATTTTTTATTTTTACACTGTCTCTTTATTTATTTATGTTTATCACTTTTATTCCTATGATAAGGAATGTAAACATCCCATGTAATAGAAATAAGGGTTACAGGTCCTATTCAAGGAGAGATCTGGGGTCAAAAAGACCCCAAATCTCTCCCTTACCTCATTTCTTGGGTGCGCCGGTGGAATGGTAAACCTGACTGAAGGATTATATGCCACCCTTCATCAGTAAATGGTAATCTGAAATGCAAACCACATTTACCACAGCCCAAATAGAAAGAGCAATCTAGGTTGCACGTGAATCTTATGATAGCAAACCCATTTCAGGAACAAGGGTATAGGGTACATGGTCCCCAAAGCACTACATAAAAAATTTCCACAATTTCCAAATGTGTTCTGGATCCACTGGGCACCTTACTGCACATTTTTTGTGAACATTATTTTGGACCCAAGTTAGAAAAAACAATTTCTCAACTCACCTAAATCAACTTGGGGGACCACCTCATGGTCTAATTACTTCATATTAATCAGCTCCCACTCTCTCGATACAAGATTGTTCATCTGCATAAAGTGGCCAGGGCCTGCATTCCCTCCCCTAGGAAACAGATACTCCACCCATGGCATTGTGGCTTGCTAAAATTGATGTTATTAGACAGGTGGAAGAGCTTACGGCCTCTTTGAATCACAGGGCAGATACACTATATTGCTAAAAGTATTGGGATGCCTGCCTTTACACACACACGAACCTTAACCTCCTTGGCGGTATGATTATTTCAGATTTTTGGTGCTGAAAGCGGTACCATTTTTTTGCATGGAAATATGTATTTTTTTTTTTTTATTGTAGGCCTGTAATTTAGGAATAACTCACTGAAATCTGTCCGAACAAGAGTCTAGTAAACATTCCAGATATGATAAAACTTGAAACACAAAATCATAAATTATACTTTAATAAATAATCATAAAAAATAATAATATCATAATAATTAATTTAATTAAATAATATAATCAAACCAAAAACACTGAAATTTGAACTATAGCGCCAAGTTCGCACATCGCTGAGCAAAGTCGCAGAATCGTTTTCAGTGTCTGATGACGAATTTACCCACAAATCATTATCACTCAATTCTGCAAGTGGTTCTGATTTACTATTGCTGTTCTCTAGCCTGTCTAAAACCGATTTTGACATAAAGGGACGCTTTTTGGACGCCATGGACTTTTCTAAGTTTCCAGGCAGAAAGAACAGTCAAAATGCAGGCAGGGGACAGGACAAAGCAGTAGGGACAAAATGTATGTGAAATGTTTTGAAACTATGTTTTACTATGTAATAATAATTTTTAAAAAAATGAATTTTTTTTAAAAATTTCAAATTTGCCGCCAGTTCCGGCGCCCGTACGTCCCGACGCCACAGGGACCGGAACATGGAAGCCAGATGCCAGCATCGGCCGGAGGAGATGGCCAAAGACGCTGCAGGGGACGCATCGCAGGAGCGAAGGACAAGGTAAAGCGCTGCAGGGAATCCCTATGCAACGCTGCATGGTAAGCCCGAGTGTAGCTCGGGGTTACCGCTTTTGGTACTGAAACTTTACCCCGAGCTACACTCAGGAATACCGCTAGGGAGGTTAATGACATCCATCTTAGTCCATAGGGTTCATTATTGAGTTGGCCCACCCTTTGCAGCTAAAACAGCTTCAACTCTTCTGGGAAGGCTGTCTACATGGTTTAGAAGAGTGTCTATGGGAATGTTTGATCATTCTTCCAGAAGCGCAATTATGAGGTAAGGCACTGATGTTGAAAGAGAAGGCATGGCTCACAGGCCTCAACAGTCCTGGTTTTAGTTGAGGTCATGGACTTTGTGACCTGGTGCTCAGTCATGTTGGAACAGGAAAGGGCCATCCCCAAACTGTTCTCACAATGTTGGGAGCATGAAATTTTCCAAAATGTCTTGGTTTGCTGACGCCTTAAGAGTTCCCTTCACTGGAACTAAGGGGCCAAGCCCATCCCCTGGAAAACAACCCCACACCATAATACCCCTCCACCAAACTGTACACTTGGCACTATGCAGTCAGACAAATACCATTATCCTAGGCAACTGCCAAACCCAGACATGTCCATCATTTTTCCAGACAGCGTGATTCATCACTTTAGAGAACATGTCTCCACTGCTCTAGAGTCTGGGGCGGTGTGCTTTACACCACTGCATCCAACGCTTATCATTGCATATGGTGATGTAAGGCTGGATGCAGCTGCTTGGCCACGGAAACTCATTCCATGAAGCTCTGTGCACACTGTTGTGCTATTCTGAAGGCCACATGAAGTTTGGAGGTCTTTAGCTATTGGCTCTGCAGACAGTTGGCAACTTCTGCGCACTGTGCGCTTCAGCATTAGCTGACCCTTCTCTGTCATTTTACATGGCCTACCACTTTGTGGCTAAGTTGCTGTTGCTCCAGTTGCTTTCACCTTGTTATAATACTACTAACTGTTGACCGTGAAATATTTAATAGCAAGGAGGATGGACTTATTGCACAGGTGGCAACCTATCACGGTACCATGCTTGAATTCACTGAGCTCCTGAGGGCGACCCATTCTTTCACAAATGTTTGTAGAAGCAGTCTGTATGCCTAGGTGCATGCTTTTATACACCAATGGCCATGGAGATGATTGGAACACCTGAATCCAATGATTTGAAGGGGTGTCCCAATACATGTGGCAATATAGTGTATGTGCAATAGAAAAGGCAAAAGAGGGTTGGAGAGAGGAAGATGTAGAGAAAATAGAAAGAATATTTTGGCAATATAGTTTATGTTAAGAGACACGTGACTCCTCAGGTCTGCTTTCACTTACGTCGTCAAATACCAGAGCCTGTTGGCACCCTTGGACACTGGTTAAGGAGAGATAGTCCCTTATATCTGTGCTGGAGATGGATCCATAATGATTAGATATAATATAATATATTTATTTATTTATTTATTTCAGGTACTTATATAGCACCGTCAATTTACGCAGCGCTTTACACATATATATTGTACATTCACATCAGTCTCTAACCCTCAAGGGGCATACAATCTAAGGTCCCTAACTCACATTATTATTATTATACAGTATTTATATAGCGCCAATAGTTCGCTCAGCGCTGTACATTACAATGGGAGACAATACATGAGACAGTACAATGACAATGCAGTGTGATACACGAGGGGTTCGAGGGCCCTGCTCCTTGGAGCTTGCAATCTAGGAAGGAGGGGATAGTGGTACGGGAGGAAAAAGCTGTGGGGGATGGAGTGGTGGGAAGAGAGGAGGAGATCGGCAGTTAGCAGGGGGTGGGGTAGGCTTCCCTGAAGAGGTGGGTTTTCAGGGTGCACCTAAAGGAGAGGAGAGTAGGTGATAGTCTGATGGATTGGGGGAGGGTGTTCCAGAGGATGAGTGATGCCCTGGAGAAGTCCTGGAGGCGGACATGGGAGGAGGAGACCAGGGAGCTAGAGAGAAGGAGGTCTTGTGAGGAGCGGAGAGTGCGTTTTGGGTGGTATTTGGATATTAGGTCAGAGATATTAGGTCAGAGTAGTTTGGGGCGATATTATGGACAGCTTTGTATGTCAGTGTTAGCATTTTGAATTTAAAACCGTTGGGCAATCGGGAGCCCGTGGAGGGATTGGCAGAGGGGGATGGCAGAAACGGAGTGGTTGGTAAGGTGGATGAGTCTGGCTGCCGTATTCAGGATCGACTGAAGTGGGGATAGCTTGCAGTGAGGAAGGCCAGTGGGAGTGGATGAGTTGTTTAGTGGTTTCCGGGGTTAGGAATGGGCATATTTTGGCGAGGTTGTGGAGGTGGAGTCGGCATGAGTTCGTTAGTGATTGGACTTTGGGCTCGAAGGATAGATTGGAGTCAAGAATGATACCAAGTACTTTGGCTTGCGGGGTGGGCCTTATGGTGGCATTGTTGGACGTGATGGAGAAGTCAGTGGGGGGGGGGGTGCGTGGGCTGGGGGGAAGACTAGGAGCTCGGTTTTGGAGAGGTTCAGTTTAAGGAAGTGGAGCGACATCCAATCTGATATGTCGTTCAGTAGGCTAGTGATTCGGGCGGAGACTGTGGGGGTGAGGTGAGGGGTCGAGAAGTTCTGGAAGATCTGGCATTTCTGCCAGTACTCTACATGGCCGCAGAGGTACACATCAGCCTCAGTCTGGTGCCAGACGGCCTTTATAAGGAGGCTCATCACTTCCTCTGGTTGCTGGATGATCTCTAGCTCCCCGTGCCCTGTTCCTGTTTCCTGTGATTCTGACTTGTGATTTCCTGTTACTGACTCAGCTTGCTCCTGGACCTGTCTACTCTGATTACCCCTGATCTGACCTTGGCTTGGCTTACGGATACTCTCTCTCGCTCCTCTGTGAATGATCTCGGCTTTCCCATCTGACTACGTCTGCTCTGATTCCCACCTGGTACCTGATCTTGGCTTGAACCGACTACCCAGTAAACATCCAAATCCCGGAAGGGCTTGCATACCACGCACAGGCACCTCCTGTCTGCAGACCTATCTCCGTGCACCAGCTGTGCTTCTGAGTGGACCACCAACCAGCACTCCTACAGGCGACCTGTGCAACTTTGGGCCTGACTCCCGCTGTCCCACTCTCAGGGGAGTCCGGAACTTAGCCGCAAGGGAAGCCCTCTCTCCATCACCACGTACCTGATAGCAATGTAGTGGTTGAAATACTCCTGTGATCCCTGGGAGATATTTAGTTAAGGGTCTTGAAGATGACCCAGTCTCATTCTGTCATAATCACTTCCACCTCCTCCATTTTCCTATGACCTTTTATCCCCCCCGCTTCCTTTCACCCCAGGTATATATGACTGGCCATTTATACATTTATTTTTTAAAAAAATGTATAATAATTAAATATTAATTACTGAATGTTTGAAGCACAATTAAATAAAAAATATGTCTATAGGCCAACTGTTAGTTTATTGGGCTAACTAAAGCTGTGTATTTAGCTGACACTTGAAAAGCAATCACTCGCTTCTATATCCAAATGCTAGCAAACAAATTGAATGAAAAAAATGACAGTTGACCATCTGTCTAAAACACAAAAATCCATGATGTGCGCCAGCTTGCGCCAGGAACAACAGTAACAAGAAAACTGGCAGCAGTAACTCACAGGTGCTGTTCCCACTAATTTTCTAAAATTTCCATGCCCTATTTTCCAAACAGTTTAATTGTTGACTGCATGAGCCTGAAATGTTGGATAGTATGACAGCTGCTGCCCCGGCCGCGAGCGAACGGGTTAACTTTCCTGCACTTTCCACTGAGTTTGGCCTCTTTCTACCTGTGCTTGTATAAAAGAGAGACTGCTTTGCCCAGACTTGTTCTGCCCCCTGGATGAGAGAGAAGACACAGCAAAACCAGCAGGTTGTAGAGTTGTGTTCAAAATAATAGCAGTGTGTTCAAATAAGTGAATAAAGCACAAAATCCTTCTAATAGCTTTTATTTCCATACACACAAATGCATTGGGAACACTACACATTCTATTCCAAATCAAAACATGGAGAAAAATATATCAAATTTGTGTTGTTCCTCTAAAAAAATTGAAGAAAAGTGAATATTAGACTGTTCAAAAAATAGCAGTGTTTTGTATTCTTCTTTACAAACTCAAACATTCACTATATAAACTGAAAAATGTTTGAAGATTTTGCTTTCCTTTGAATCACTTAATTAATATTTGGTTGTATAAGCACTGTTTCTGGGAACTGCTGTACATCTGTGTTGCATGGAGTCAACCAACTTCTGGCACCTGTGAACAGGTATTCCAGCCCAGGATGCTGGGACTACATTCCACAGTTCTTCTCTATTTCTTGGTTTTGCCTCAGAAACTGTATTTTGATGTCACCCCACAAGTTTTCTGTTGGATTAAGATCCGGGGATTGGGCTGGCCACTCCATAACATCAATCTTGTTGGTCTGGAACCAAGATGTTGCACATTTACTGGTGTGTTTGGGGTCGTTGTCTTGTTGGAACACCCATTTCAAGGGCATTTCCTCTTCAGCATAAGGCAGCATGACCTCTTCAAGTATTCTGATGTATTCAAACTGATCCATGATCCCTGGTATGCGATAAATGGGCACAACACCGTAGTATGAGAAACATCCCCATATCATGATGCTTGAGCAACCATGCTTCACTGTCTTCACAGTGTACTGTGGCTTGAATTCAATGTTTGGGGGTCGTCTGACAAACTGTCTCCAGCCACTAGACCCAAAAAGAACAATCTTACTTTCATCAGTCCACAAAATGTTGCACCATTTCTCTAGGCCAGTCAATGTGCTGTTTGGGAAATTGTGACCTTTTCAGCACGTCTTTTTTTCAACAGTGGGACTTTGCAGCGGCTTCTTGCAGATAGCTTGGCTTCATATAGGCATCTTCTATTTGTAACAGTACTCACAGGTAACTTTAGACCTTCTTTGATCTTCCTGGAGCTGATTGTTGGCTGAGTCCTTGCCATTTTGGCTATTCTTCTATCCATTCCAATGGTAGTTTTTTGCTTTCTTCCACGTCTTTCAGGTTTTGGTTGCCATTTTAAAGCATTTGCCATCATTTTAGCTGAGCATTCTATCATTTTCTGCACTTCTTTATATATTTTCAC